CAACATAAAAATTAATGATATTTATGTATCAATTGATAATTCTAGGCGTAAAAATAGCAGCCATTTCACAGGCACTTTAAGTTCAAGAAATATATGAAGTTTGAACACGTCAGACATATGGCTCCAAAACTACAGTCACTAACAACAACAAAATGGCCAACAGTCGACCATTTTGAGTTTGATGTGACAAACAAAGTAAATAGACATGCATACGTGATGTATTTGTGAAATTTGAATATGATCGGACCAGGCCGAAGCACAGGTGGGGAACACACAGACACATGCATGCAAGTCTCCATTTTCTGCATAAATATAACAACTCAAGTTACATGCTTGTAAAAATATTCTGTAATCAAAGAAAGCTTAGAAAGAACTCCCGTGTGCTGAGAGTATTGGAAACACATTAAAAATTAATTCAAAATTAATGAACTTGAGATGTTGATGGAAACGCAGAAAACTAATTAATTATGCAAATAAGATAACTAATATGAACAGATTTAAGTGTAAAACTAATAAGGTCTGCACAATGTACGAAGTTTCATTGAAATGTGATTATAACCAAAAAAATATTAATTATTATGCTAATTAGATAATTAATATGAACAGATTTTAACCGAAAATTAATCAAGCTGTCTATTGTCCTAGAGCATTTATGTACCAAGTTTTATTCAAATGTGATGATCAATACTTGAGATATCAGTATTAATTAATTATGTTGATTAGGTGATTATAAAGAAGCATAAATATTTACCAAAAACTAATATGGTCCTAGGTTCATTGAAATGTGATGGGTTTTCTTTAAAAGTTTCATTGAAATCCAATGAGTGGTTTTTAGACATCAGTGCAACAGCCATAGAACAGCAAAAAAATAACTAATCATGCAAATTAGGTAATTAATAGGCACAATTATTTATCCCAAAATTAATCAGGTCTCTGCATAGTCCTAGAATATCTATGTCACAAGTCTCATTGAAATGTGATGATTAGTACTTGAGATATCAGGTGAAAAGCTGAAAATTAACTAATTATGCTAATAAGGTGATTAATATGCACAAATATTTACCCAAAGACTAATAAGGTCTCTGCACAGTTCTCAAGTAACTATTGAAACGTGATCATTACTACTCAAAATAT